TCTCTTCGGGGGCGTGGGTTCGAATCCCACTCTCGTCAACGCTTTTGCCATTCTGCCGCGAATTTTTGATTTTCTTTTGCAGGCGGACTGTGTGGTCTTGGAGTTGGAAGATGGTGTAGCTTTGACTTCTAAAGCAGTGGCACGCACACAAGCGACGAAAGCACTTGATACATTTGCTAATCAACAATTAAATTGTTTTGAATTGGGACTTCGTGTGAATTCTGTGGCGAGCGGATTGATTGAAGATGATGTAAAGGTAATTATTTTTTTTATTTTTGATTAGAACTTCATCTTTGCTTTTTAACACTTATTTTCTTGTTTATTTTTTACTTTTCCCCCATTAGAAATTTACTTTTTTGCCTAGCAATTTAGGAAATATGCAAAGCCGAGCATTTGCCGCAAGCTTTCATGGTACCAAAAGTGGACAGTCCTGAAGATGTCGCGAAGATTTACGATGTGTTTAGAAGTAATTACACTGCTAAAAGAGTCACAGATACTGTAAGTGCTTGAACTTCAAGTATTATAGAAATTTATGTTTTTCTAGAATACCAGATTAGTTATATGGATAGAATCGGCTAGAGCACTTCTCGATATGCCAAGGATATTGTCATCTACACTTAATCTACATAAAAATTCTGGATTTTTCAAATTAGATGCTGTTGTATTTGGATCCGATGATTATTGTGCTGATATAGGTAATTGGAATTATCATTGACTATCATCAACCCATGCACTTTATCTCATTGAGTCTTTGCAATATATCTCCTCCTGCATAATTTTTTTGAGATTCTGCCTACTGTAAAACTTTCAATTATTCTCAGTTTCCTCTTGATATTTTCTTCTTCGCAGAAAATGTTTCTGGCCTCAATATTCGACTTGGACTATGAACCAGAGATTCAATAGAAAATGGGCAATTCTAACAAAGCCGGCATACTGTTTTTGCCATCGAGATTTTTGCGCTGCTTCAGAAGGGGATTTTCTGTACGCTTTCTATCGCAATCATTCCTGCAGTCGTGCGTCAATTATCAGAAAAATTTCAAATGCATAATTTATTCAGTTCGAATTTGACGTGATTTTTGAGATAGCGCAAAATTATCTTGGTCACAACCACCATCTCCTTATACTTTTTTTTTCGTTGGAAATTTTTTTTTTTGCGTTCAGGCATCGATTCACTATTTTAGG